GTGTTTTTTGGCCCAAGCAAGTCTCTTCTTATTATTGGTGTCCTTTAGTAGTGATTTCTTTGCAGCAATTCCACCATGAAGGCCTGATTCACGCAGTCTCCCCTGAACAGTTGATGTTTAGTGTCTGTTACTTGAACTCTGTGAAGCATTTATTTGGGCTGCAATTTCTGACGCTGGTAAGTCTAATGAACTTATCCTCTGCAGCAGAGATAACTCTGGGTCTTCCTTTCCTGTGGCTGTCCTCATGAGAGCCACTTTCATCATAGCGCTTGATGGTTTTTGCGACTGCACTTGAAGAAACTTTTAAAGGTCTTGACATTTTCCGTATTGACAGACCTTCATGTCTTAAAGTAATGATGGACTGTTGTTTCTCTTTGATTATTTGAGCTATTCTTGCCATAATATGGACCAAATAGGGCTATCTTCTGTATACCACTGATTGTCTCAAACGCATTAAAAAGGAAAGCAAATGCACAAATTAACTTTTAAGAAGGCACACCTGTTAATTGAAATGCATTCCAGGTGACTACCTCATGAAGCTGGTTGAGAGAATGCCAAGAGTGTGCAAAGCTGTCATCAAGGCAAAGGGTGGCTACTTTAAAGAATCTCAAACATAACATATATTTTGATTTGATTAACACTTTGTTGATTACTACAGTGAGGGAAAAAAATATTTGATCCCCTGCTGATTTTGTACGTTTGCCCACTGACAAAGAAATTATCAGTCTATAATTGTAATGGTAGGTTTATTTGAACAGTGAGAGACAGAATAACAACAACAAAAATCCAGAAAAACACATGTCAAAATGTTATAAATTGATTTGCATTTTAATGAGGGAAATAAGTATTTGACCCCCTCTCAATCAGAAAGATTTCTGGCTCCCAGGTGTCTTTTATACAGGTAACGAGCTGAGATTAGGAGCACACCCTTAAAGGGAGTGTTCCTAATCTCAGTTTGTTACCTGTATAAAAGACACCTGTCCACAGAAGCAATCAATCAATCAGATTCCAAACTCTCCACCATGGCCAAGACCAAAGAGCTCTCCAAGGATGTCAGGGACAAGATTGTAGACCTACACAAGGCTGGAATGGGCTACAAGACCATCGCCAAGTGGCATGGTGAGAAGGTGACAACAGTTGGTGCGATTATTCGCAAATGGAAGAAACACAAAATAACTGTCAATCTCCCTCGGCCTGGGGCTCCATGCAAGATCTCAACTCGTGGAGTTGTAATGAACATGAGAACGGTGAGGAATCAGCCCAGAACTACACAGGAGGATCTTGTCAATGATCTCAAGACAGCTGGGACCATAGTCACCAAGAAAACAATTGGTAACACACTACGCCGTGAAGGACTGAAATCCTGCAGCGCCCGCAAGGTCCCCCTTCTCAAGAAAGCACATATACATTCCCGTCTGAAGTTTGCCAATGAACATCTGAATGATTCAGAGGAGAACTGGGTGAAAGTGTTGTGGTCAGATGAGACCAAAATGGAGCTCTTTGGCATCAACTCAACTCGCCGTGTTTGGAGGAGGAGGAATGCTGCCTATGACCCCAAGAACACCATCCCCACCGTCAAACATGGAGGTGGAAACATTATGCTTTGGGGGTGTTTTTCTGCTAAAGGGACAGGACAACTTCACCGCATCAAAGGGACGATGGACGGGGCCATGTACCGTCAAATTTTGGGTGAGAACCTCCTTCCCTCAGCCAGGGCATTGAAAATGGGTCGTGATGGGTATTCCAGCATGACAATGACCCAAAACACACGGCCAAGGCAACAAAGGAGTGGCTCAAGAAGAAGCACATTAAGGTCCTGGAGTGGCCTAGCCAGTCTCCAGACCTTAATCCCATAGAAAATCTGTGGAGGGAGCTGAAGGTTCGAGTTGCCAAACGTCATGCTCGAAACCTTAATGACTTGGAGAAGATCTGCAAAGAGGAGTGGGACAAAATCCCTCCTGAGATGTGTGCAAACCTGGTGGCCAACTACAAGAAACGTCTGACCTCTGTGATTGCCAACAAGGGTTTTGCCACCAATACTAAGTCATGTTTTGCAGAGGGGTCAAATACTTATTTCCCTCATTAAAATGCAAATAAATTTATAATATTTTTGACATGCGTTTTTTCTGGATTTTGTTGTTGTTATTCTGTCTCTCACTGTTCAAATAAACCTACCATTAAAATTATAGACTGATCATGTCTTTGTCAGTGGGCAAACGTACAAAATAAGCAGGAGATCAAATATTTTTTTCCCTCACTGTACATGATTCCATATGTGTTATTTCATAGTTTTGATGTCTTCACTATTATTCTACAATGTAGAAAATAGTCAAATTAAAGAAAAACCCTTACTGAGTTGGTGCGTCCAAACTTTTGACTGGTACTATATATGGACCAAAACATGTTACAAATGGCATTTAGTCTTAGATATGATAAGGCTGAGGCGAAGATTTACGTTCCAAAAAGACAATGACCCTACTCATACAGCCAAAGCAATGCTGGAATGGCTTCAGAACAAGAATGTGAAAGTCTTTGAGTGGCCCAGCCAAAGCCCAGACTTGAATCCCATTGAAATCTGTGGAAAGACTTGAAGATTGCTGTTCACCACTGCTCCCCATCTAACTTAACAGAGCATTTGGAAATCTGCAAGGGACAATGGTAGAAAATGCCTAAATTCAGATGTGCAAAGCTGATACAGACATACCCAAGACGACTTAAAGCTATAATCGCCGCCAAAGGTGCATGTACAAAGTATTGACTCAGGGGTGTGAATACTTTGTAGAAGCACCTTTGGCGGCGATTATAAGATATTTATGTATTTCATTCTCAATTAATTAGAAAACATTTCTAAAAACATGTTTTCACTTTTTAATTATAGGGTATTGTGTGTAGATGAGTGAGAAAAAAATCTATTTAATCCATTTTGAATTCAGGCCGTAACACAACAAAATGTGGAATAAGTCAAGGGGTATGAATACTTTCTGAAGGCACTGCTAATTGACATGATTCAGGAATCGTAAAGACAGAGGTAGTTCATGATTAACTATTACATTAATTAATCTACTACATAAGACCTAAGGTTTTCACTAAGTTAGTCTTCGCCTAGCAAGTACATTGACTATGTTGCCCCTCAGCATTCTGGCAGACAGGCAGACAGATGGAAAGAGATAGAAAGACAGATAGACAGCAAAACATAGGCTATTTACATTTCTTAGTCAGCAGGCTGGATAACTACTCCTTCACTTTGTTCCCTCCTCCACCCTTCCATCAAAGCTATATCATTCCTGCAACAAAAAAAGAGAATCAAGAATTTAAAGAAGGCAGTTGAGAGGTGTAGAGGTGTGTTGAGGGGTAGCAGGGATTGGCAAAATGTATCGTATTCGTTTTGTCAAATAGAAAATACACAAAATTGCAAGGATCCCTGACGAATCAAGACAAACTTCACATTCATATTGTGGGGTACAAGTTTCAAGTATTAGCTAGGTTAGCTAACAATGTAACAATGTCTCTCTCTCACACACATGTTTAGTAGCCTATATTTGTAATCATCAACAATCTCTCTCTCTCTCTCTCTCTCTCTCTCTCTCTCTCTCTCTCTCTCTCTCTCTCTCTCTCTCACACACACACACACACACACGCACACACACACACACACACACACACACACACACACACACACACACACACACAGTTAGCATGCCAACGTTGACATGACAATGTTTTCTAATGTTAAAGTTATTGTGATCATCATTTGACTCTCTCTCTCTCCCCCACTCCCACACACAGAGAACAGACACAAACACACACACACTCACACATTTACTGCCATTTACTGCCACCTAATGAGATATCTAGCTATGTAGTTATCTAGCTAGCTAGCTAATAATTATAGCTATGGGGATCATAGCTACCTACATTTTACTGGTAAAATAGCAATACTGCACCAGCCCTTTCTGGCTGGCAAGCAACATTTCAAATCACTTAGCCAGTTAGTTTTAGCTCTAGCTAATACCTAATGACAAATGCTCTTTTTGTCAATATTATATTTTTATTTTGTACAGCTATCAAAGAAAACATTAACATCAAAAATACAAGACATGAGCTAGCTAAATCAAGTAGGCTAGCCAGATACTCATCTTATTAATCTGAAAAAATACTCTAAAATGTAAATATAATTACCAACATAAAAACGAATTGTATCAGGACAGTTTTGTACCTTAATGTTGTTGTCCTTATCTCAGCAACATAGCTGTCAAAGTTGTGAGAAACCTTTCAGGTCCAGTGGAGGCGAGGCGCCTCCTGGTGGGTGCATTCACTAAAACTCACAATTTGGTCAAGTATCAGTCGATACTATGGCAATTCAAGATGGTGCTACCAATAACACTAATAAACCATTGTTCAAGATAAAAATAAAAATAAAATATATGTTTCTATGTAAAATGCATGTTTAATATTAGTGGATTGAATACATCTATTTTCTTAGCGTTACCTCTTAATGTGTTTCCATTCCCCTATAACAGTATTATAATATAGATATACTCATATTAATGTATATATCCATAGCTGTACATTGTGAGCTTGCTGTTAAAGGGACATTACACTCCATAATCAAAGATGATCAAATATTTTTAAATCTCAAAAGTATGCTAATGTCAACATGAATCCGCGTCCCATGTCTCTGATTCTGTGTAGATCCACTTATATGCCTCAACCCGAAATTAATGGAAAAGATCAGCGCAGAATAGAATCAGGAAATTATATGGTGCTTATCTTTTACATTTATTTCAGATGGAAACATTAGTGTGTCTACACACCAGATGACCTGGGAGGTGGTAGTATCTCAATATTAGTCTACAATTGATGTCTGAAAATATCGGGAAAACGTTTATGTTGGAGTGAATTGTCCCTTTAATGTCACTTTAAATCCAAACCTGGGCTTTTTTAAACAGATATATCCCTGGTGATCTTGCTGGTGGTGTCCCCTCTCATCGGTGTGTCAGCCCTGGTCTTCATAGGCTTCCTCATGCTGCAGAAGTTGCGGCTGCAGACCAGGCTGGACGGCTCCTGCTGGTGGATCATCGACTACAATGAAATCACTATTATCAAAGAGGCTAAAGTATGAGCCAATAAAAAAATAGACATGTCCGAGATTCCTCTCATCTGAAGCATTGTGTATAAATGGAAACCAAAGTATGTGTGTAACTAACAGAAATATGGTTAACGTCTAGGGAGCGCTGGCCCTATCTCTGAGCACGACAGCCAGTAAGACTGGAAGTGGAGGCTCCTATCAGACCCTCCTCTCCTCCACTAGCTATGGCCTGAGAGACAATGCAGGGAAAGAGCACATCTACTCCACCATAGGCCTTTTTCAGGTATACACTGATAGAATCCAATCTATCTACTCTGCCGGTTAAATAAGCATACTGTTCCACAGCCATGTCATAAATTACATAGATGTTAGCATGAAAGCCATTATGAATGTTGAAGCAAAACTCATGTGTTTTGAACTGTTCATCATGTCAGGTGTTATGAATGCATAATGTATACCCCTTTCAAATTAAGTTGTTATCCATAAAGGCCTCTACCTGCAACTGATACAATCTAATAGATTAGAATATAATAGATGTGTTAATTGCCACTGTGTTACTGCCACTGTACCTACCTCTCTTTTGTTCAGGGAAATCAAGTGGCCATCAAATACATGCAGAATCAACCCGTCAGTGACATCAAGAAGCCATCCATCATCGCAGAGTTCAACGTGGTAAAGTTGGGCTTAACTAGATTCAAGCGACACAACATTTAGTACATTGTCTATTTAACTTCTAACCATTCCTAAAGTATAAATCCATGGTTAGTACATTTAGAAAGGTAATAACTGAGCTTTTGAATGGTAGGCCTATGTAAAACAATATATTTATATATATATATATATATATATATATATATATATATATATATATATATATATATATATATATATACAGTACCAGTCAAAAGTTTGGACACACCTACTCATTCAAGGGTTTTTCTTTATTTGTACTATTTTCTACATTGTAGAATAATAGTGAAGACATCAAAACTATGAAATAACACATATGGAATCATGTAGTAAACAAAAAAGTGTTAAACAAATCAAAATAGATTTTAGATTTTAGATTCTTCAATGTAGCCACCCTTTACCTTGATGATAGCTTTGCACACTCTTGGCATTCTCTCAACCAGCTTCACCTGGAATGCTTTTCTAACAGTCTTGAAGGAGTTCCCACATATGCTGAGCACTTGTTGGCTGCTTTTCCTTCACTCTGCGGTCCAACTCCTCCCAAACCATCTCAATTGGGTTGAGGTTGGGTGATTGTGGAGGCCAGGTCATCTGATGCAGCGCTCCATCACTCTCCTTCTTGGTCAAATAGCCTTTACACATCCTGGAGGTGTGTTGGGTCATTGTCCTGTTGAAAAACAAATGATCGTCCCACTAAGCGCAAACCAGATGGGATTGCGTATCGCTGCAGAATGCTGTGGTAGTCAAGCTGGTTAAGTGTGCCTTGAATTTTAAATGAATCACCGACAGTGTCACCAGCAAAGCACCCCCACACCATCACACCTCCTCGTCCATGCTTCACGGTGGGAACCACACATGCTGAGATCATCCGTTCACCTACTCCGCGTCTCACAAAGACATGGCGGTTGGAACCAAAAATCTCAAATTTGGACTCATCAGACCAAAGGACAGATTTCGACCAGTCTAATGTCCATTGCTCGTGTTTCTTGGCCCAAGCAAGTCTCTTCATCTTATTGGTGTCCTTTAGTAATGGTTTCTTTGCAGCAATTCGACCATGAAGGCCTGAATCACGCAGTATCCTCTGAACAGTTGATGTTGAGATGTGTTTGTTACTTGAACTCTGTGAAGTATTTATTTGGGCTGCAATTTCTGAGGCTGGTAACTCTAATGAACTTATCCTCTTTTGCGACTGCACTTGAAGAAACTTTCAAAGTTCTTGAAATTTTCCGGAATGACTGACCTTCATGTCTTAAAGTAATGATGGACTGTTGTTTCTCTTCGCTTATTTGAGCTGTTCTTGCCATAATATGGACTTGGTCTTTTACCAAATAATCTTCTGTATACCACCCCTACCTTGTCACAACACAACTGATTGGCTCAAACACATTAAGGAAAGAAATTCCACAAATCAAATCAAATCAAATTTTATTGGCCACATGCGCCGAATACAACAGGTGCAGACATTACAGTGAAATGCTTACTTACAGCCCTTAACCAACAACCAAATTAATTTTTAAGAAGCCATACCTGTTAATTGAAATGCATTCCAGGTGACGACCTCATGAAGCTGGTTGAGAGAATGCCAAGAGTGTGCAAAGCTGTCATCAAGGCAAAGGGTTGCTAATTTGAAAAATCTCAACTGGCAGCTTCATTAAGGTCCTCAACTGGTCCTCAACTGGCAGCTTCATTAAAGAGTACCCGCAAAACACCAGTCTCGACGTCAACAGTGAAGAGGCGACTCCGTGATGCTGACCTAGGCAGAGTTGCAAAAAGAAAAAGCCATATCTCAGACTGGCCAATAAAAATAATAGATTAAGATGGGCAAAAGAACACAGACACTGGACAACTCTGCCTAGAAGGTCAGCATCCCGGAGTCGCCTCTTCACTGTTGACGTTGAGACGGGTACTATTACTATGTTTTGCGGGTACTATTTAATGAAGCTGCCAGTTGAGGACCAGTTGAGGACCTTAATGAAGCTGCCAGTTGAGATTTTTCAAATTAGCAACCCTTTGCCTTGATGACAGCTTTGCACACTCTTGGCATTCTCTCAACCAGCTTCATGAGGTCGTCACCTGGAATGCATTTCAATTAACAGGTATGGCTTCTTAAAAGTTAATCTGTGAGGCGTCTGTTTCTCAAACTAGACACTCTAATGTATTTGTCCTCTTGCTCAGTTGTGCACCGGGGCCTCCCACTCCTCTTTCTATTCTGGTAAGAGCCAGTTTGTGCTGTTCTGTGAAGGGAGTAGTACACAGCGTTGTACGAGATCTTCAGTTTCTTGACATTTTCTCGCATGAAATAGCCTTCATTTCTCAGAACAAGAATAGACTGACGGGTTTCAGAAGAAAGTTATTTGTTTCTGGACATTTTGAGCCTGTAATCGAACCCACAATTGCTGATGCTCCAGATACTCAACTAGTCTCAAGAATGCCAGTTTTATTGCTTCTTTAATCAGCACAACAGTTTTCAGCTGTGCTAACATAATTGCAGAATGGTTTTCTAATGATCAATTAGCCTTTTAAAATGATCAACTTGGATTAGCAAACACAACGTGCCATTGGAACACAGGACTGATGGTTGCTGATAATGGGCCTCTGTACGCCAATGTAGATATTCCATAAAAAATCTGCCGTTTCCAGCTACAATAGCCATTTACAACATTAACAATGTCTACACTGTATTTCTGATCAATTTGATGTTATTGTAATGGACAAAAAAATTGCTTTTCTTTCGAAAACAAGGACATTTCAAAGTGACCCCAAACTTTTGAACGGTAGTGTATATATATATTTATTTTTACGTAAATGACGGAGTAGGTGCGCATGGACCCAATATAGAGTCCAAAACAACCGCTTGGAGTTGAAGTGGTATGCTTATGATTATGATAATTTTATTTTTTTATTTATTGCACAATTTGCATGAATTCAAGAACAAATTTAATCTTAATATTTATGAATAATTCATTATTATTGAAAACCCCATTTGTAAGTATTTCTGTAAATAATGCTCTGGCGACTCTTGTGCTCCTTTCTAAAACAGTTGAGAGAGATGAAGCATGAGAACTTGGTGCAGTTATTTGGGGTTTGCATTGACCCTCCAAATGTCTGTATGGTCATGCAGTACTGCAAGAAAGGCAGCCTGAAGGTAACAGCGTGGGGACTGTGATGGTCCGGATTTAAATGACAACAACTTTAATTAATGAGGCCACAATAAACCCTTTATAAGTCCTTTGTAGATGCTTTACAACTGAATTATAAGCAAATTCATACTATATAAATTGTGTTATAACAGTGTGTATAGAATGATATTTGTCAAACATCTGTGAATGCCCTATAAACAGTTTATAAAGGCTTCAAAATTTGACTTTTTTGTTGTTGTTTGAAATCACTAAAATACTTCATCTACTCTCCTAGGTATGGGTCTCAAACTTGTACCACGTGTCATTTACACACAAAAAAACACACTACCCGGTACAAGAAAAGTGACATCCATAATGTTCTGGGTCAATTTGACCTGCAACTTGACCTTGGTCTATATATCTCTTGAACGTTGTGTCCTAGAAACAAGCTGCTTTCTGCACAGGAATGGTGCAACCATGCTGATCACAGTATTATTTCCCTATGATGCTCAGAGGCTGAGCAACACAGATCTGAAGTCAATTTGACCCTTGAACTTGACATTTTTCTAACTCTTGAGGCTGAGCAACACTGATCTGAAGTTGAGCTAAAACGGAGTTTTGACAAATTATGATTTTACGATCTGACGGATTTATGACCTTTTTACATGCATCAAACATTTGGCTCTATGTTTTGAAAGGATGGGGCTATCAACCCAGGGGAAATAATCTGAAAGACGACATTCTCAGCAATATTTAGAAAAGGGAAACATACTTTTTGTGTTCACTGTACCGAATCAAATTGACCTGGAAGATAACTTGTGTATAGCTGAATCAAACATAAGGGAAGGGTTCAAGTTGTTGTTCATTTAAAGTGGTACCACTGCTGCTTTTCTTGTGCTACTCTGTATGATGAATAATATTATGTGGTGCGTTGTGTTTAGTAGAAAATGAAAGTTCAGGTAGTACCTTCCCATTTAACTCTGTTTCTCCCTAATGGACAAGACTCAGATGTCAATTATTGGGTTTAAGGACTGTTACAAAATGTATCCTTTTTGTTGTTTGTGACTGTAGGATGTTCTGAGATGCACTGACATTGAGCTGGATTGGATGTTTAAACTGTCCTTTGCATATGATATTGTTAATGTGAGTAAAAATCCCTTTCAGACTGGTATTTCCTTTATGTGAACAGGGCTAGACTTTTTCCCGGTTTAGTTTGACACTGTTGATTTACTTTCAGGGGATGGAGTACATCCACAAGAGTAGCCTGAAGTCCCATGGCAACTTGAAGCCCAGCACGTGTCTGGTGGACAGCAGACTTCAGGTCAAACTCTCTGGCTTTGGACTGTGGGAGTTCAAATACGGCACTAAACACAAAGTCATCCCTCTGGAAAATCCTAAATTTGAAGGTTAATAGATCACTTGATCATGGGAGTAGAACTGAGTAGTTTGATGTAATCAATATTCAGACCAGTATTTTGAGATTTTTATGAAGTCTTCATAAACCCTTAATAAGACCTTTATAGATGCTTCAGAAATCATTCATAAGCAAATATCATGCTATATAAAGTATGGCAAAAGGGTTATGCCACATTTGTCAAAGCAACAGGTGTAGTGACCTTTTATATTAACCATTATGTAGTATTACTTTGCTTAAAGTAATTTGTTAAGCATGTAGTGCTTAATAAGACTTAATGAATGCCCTATAAAGCCTTTATCAATTGTTGTTTGTGGGACCTTAAATTGACATGAATGACATAAATGTTATATAAAACGTCATGAAATCCATTATGAATGTGTTATAAAGTGTTTATGTCACGTCTTATAAATGCTCAATGTATACCTCTGTCAAGTAAAGTCTTACCACAAGTCGAATTAACCATAGTTTGATGCCACTTTGTCCAGAGATGTACTGGACGGCTCCAGAACTTCTGAGGCAAGATCAGCTCCCGTTCAATGGCACACCCAAGGGGGACATCTACAGCTTTGCAATGATTATGCGTGAGCTGATCTATAGCTCAGAGGTGGGTCCATACCACGATATCCAGCTGGAGCCAAAAGGTGTGTTATTTATTGATTCTAGAAGGTCCTTGAAAACACCACAAATAATAAGGTTGGAAATAATTATGTGAAGGTAAAATGTTGGATTTGTGCTACCTGAAGTAAATCTAAGATTGTGTAAAATCTGTCTGTATTGTTCTGTATCAAGTTAATTAGAAACTGGGTCTGGGACATGGCAGTTTTGTTGCACTTGGTATCACGTTGTGTAGAAGGTTTTTGGTCTCTCATTGGTTTTCTCCAGAGATTATCAAGCAATTGCGGATCCCTCTCTTAGGGGAGCCCCTCAGGCCGACCTTGTGCCCCCAGATGTGCAACGAGGGGTTGGCCGACCTTCTGAAGGCCTGCTGGAGCGAGAACCCTGACTACAGACCCCCCTTTGGATCCATCAGAAGACAGCTGAAGGAGACCAGCCCAGAAAGGTCAGTCATGGAGAGACAAGCCCAGACAGGGACAGACTTGCCCGGACAGTAAGAGACCAACCTAGACAGGGAGAGACCAGTCCAGACAGGGAGAGACCAACCCAGACACGGAGAGACCAGCCAGCCCAGACAGGGAGAGACCAACCTAGACAGTGACTAACCAGCCCAGGCAGCCCAGACATTCCTTATACGGCGGACCAGTATGTACAAAACAATCTTCTTGAGTTCCAGAAGGTTCCATGTTGTAGCTGAAAGGTTTGTCTGCCTGGTTGAGTGATTATCCTGTAAGGGCCAGACAAATTGGTTTTCAGCTTATGTCCTCTCAGTGATCTCTTTACCCAGAAACAATCTCCAACTTGCAGTGAGGGATCCTCCTTGACATTGTTACTTTTGTCGTAGTACTCCCTTTGAGCATCCTGATGTTTCTGTACTTCCGTCATTAGCTTTTCGTCGTCAAGTGGTTTGTTAGCCACAAAGGGTGGACTGACTGTATCCAGCGGGACTCTCCAGGTTCTTACAATCATGAGCTCGACGGGTGTTTTTCCCATTACATTGTGAGGCGTCCGAGAACTGTTTTCCTTCTTGGAGTAGGGCACGAAGACAATACTTCAGGACTTTATTAAACCTCTCTACATCTACATTGGCTAGTGGATAGTATAACAGGGTCTTCTGTACTTTTTTGTAAAAGTAGGACGTGAAGTCAGCATGGAATTGCTGGCCATTATCAGTCACTAGAACTTGAGGCATTTTTATGTGAACAGATCTTTTAAAGTCAATTGATCACAGTTGCTGTGGTCACATCGCTTGTGGCTATGACTTCAAGCCTTTTACTGTACAGGTCTGTCACAACGATCAGGTACTGCTGGAGAGCTAGAGCTTCTTGTAGTTCTCTGAAGATATCCACTTGAATCTTCTCCCAAGGTTCTTTAGGCCATGGTATTGGTTATAGTGGTGGTTTCTCTGGTCTGAGCGATTTTTCACTCAGTGCGCAGGGCACACAGTTTTTCAAAAAGTTGGTGACATCGTCATCCATCTTTGGCTAACATACTTTGCTTCGAAGAAACTGTTTCATCTTTCTTGTTGCTGGGTGTCCTTCATGTGCTCCGGTGAGCACTCTGTGTCTGAATGTGATCTGTAAATGGTACGGTCTCATCTTTCAACCCATGATTTTTCCACTGAAATGTTTGTCTCTTACTATGTATGAAATGAGTCGTTTTTCTCTTGGTGGACCTTTCCATCCTTTTTCCATCTAGCATAGCACTTCACTTAGTACTGGATCTTGTAGTGTCTCTTGAGAGCTTTTCAGGTGTGATGGCTGCTTGTAACTCCTCAATGAAGGTATGTTGAATGAAGAGCTCATCTTCCTCTTCATCTAAGTAAGAATTCACTGTACCATCGTCTTGTGGCACCATTCTCGAAATGGAGTCAGCACCGTTGTTTGACTTTCCTGGGCAAAACTCTGTTTTGTACGAGTACTGGGCATGCCGATCTGACCATCTGGAGATTCTCATGGGCTATCTTCCTCTTCCTGAGGCCAGCAGAATGGTTGTCAAGGCCTGAGGATCTGTTCTGAGGGTAAACGGTCAAATTAAGAAGTGCCATTTCTCCATGCTCTATACACAAGGCAGCACTTCTCTTTCTCAGACTGAGTATCTCTGTTCAGTGGCTGACAGGGTCTCTGATGCATAAGCAAGTGGTTGTTCTTCTCCATCCATGATCTGTGATAGGACTGCGCCTGAAGCATTGCAGGTAAGGAACGTAATTCGACCTGGGTGGAAGTAAGCCAGAACAGGTGGTTCTGCTATTGCAGGCACATTGTCACACACCCTCCCCTTAAGTCTCAGCTTCTTTAGTAGCTGAGCACAGGACTTGGGTACCAAGGCTCAGACAGCCTGTGAAAAAGGGCCCAGCATTGATTGCCAATGGGTTTGTAGATTGTTTGTTAAGGGGCGGAAATGGGCACAATGTTTGTACAGTAGATGGGGACCGAGAGGCAATCCATGGTCAGAGAAGGGCTTGCCCCTCTGCCCAACAGCAGCACCCAGGATAGGCAAACCAGAGCTCACCTGTGATGGGATTTTAGCACAGGGCTCCCCAGGGCACAGAGAGAGGAACTTGGGGAATCACCAGTCAGCACTGGTGACTCAGGGGAGATGGAAACCTCCACCTCTAAGACAGGAGTAGCAGTGGGCCTTCTTTAAGACCCAGCAGCTTAGTAGGACCCTCCAGTGGGCCCTGTGCCTCGGAAAGTAGGCACTCCTCTTCTGGGACAGGAATAGTGACAGGAGTAGGGCTGTTACAGTGACCGTATTACCGCCACACTGGCAGTCACGAGTCATGACGGCAGTCAAATTCCACGTGACCGTTTAGTCACGGTAACTAGGCTTCTCCAAACTCTGATGTTGCTGATGGTCATTAGTAGCCTACCAAACTTGCTAACTGCCTGGTACTCAGCACTCTATCGTCCCGCTAATCACTCTGACATCAATGCAAATGTAATTCGAAAATCTAATCAAACACTTCATGAGATCCCATGAGCTCATGTTGTGCAACATTTCTAGAGGTTATGCAATTGCGTGAGAAAACAGAATGATAGCCTCTATTCAAAATAGGAGGATCCCTTCAGCCTTCTATAGGCTAGGCCTAACATAATTATTTCTCAACTTTCCTAATATTAAGCACATTGCTTCTCTTTACAACAGGAGTATAGCCTACCTGGCTAGCATGAAAATGAACCACGGGAATAGTGTCCTCCATTCGCTATTTAAGTGCATAGATGACATGTATTTTTTCCCCCTGCCCCTGTTTCGAGACAGGTGCATGATAATGGTCCCTTCTAAATAAGAACAAATTTCACACATACAGTACCAGTCAAAAGTTTGGACACACCAACTCATTCAAGGGTTTTTCTTAATTTATACTATTTTTTACATTGTAGAATAATAGTGTTAAACAAATCAAAATATATTTTCTATTTGAGATTCTTCAAATAGCCACCATTTGCCTTGATGACAGCTTTGCATACTCTTGGCATTCTCTCAACCAGCTTCACCTGGAATGCTTTTCCAACAGTCTTGAAGGAGTTCCCACATATGCTGAGCACTTGTTGGCTGCTTTTCCTTCACTCTGCCGTCCGACTCATCACAAACCATCTCAATTGGGTTGAGGTTGGGGGATTGTGGAGGCCAGGTCATCTGATGCAGCACTCCATCACTCTCCTTCTTGGTAAAATAGCCCTTACACAGCCTGGAGGTGTGTTTGTTGAAAAACAAATGAGAGTCCCACTAAGCCCAAACCAGATGGGATGGCATATTGATGCAGAATGCTGTGGTAGCCATGCTGGTTAAGTGTGCCTTGAATTTTAAATAAATCACAGACAGTGTCACCAGCAAAGCACCACCACACCATCACACCTCCTCCGCCATGCTTTACAGTGGGAACTACACATGCGGAGATCATCCGTTCACCCACACCGCGTCTCACAAAGACACGGCGGTTGGAACCAAAAATCTCCAATTTGGACTCCAGACCAAAGGACACATTTCCACCAGTCTAATGTCCATTGCTCGTGTTTCTTGGCCCAAGCAGGTCTCCTTCTTATTGGTGTCCTTTAGTAGTGGTTTCTTTGCAGCAATTCGACCATGAAGGCCTGATTCACACAGTCCCTTCTGAACAGTTGATGTTGAGATGTGTCTATTACTTGAACTCTGTGAAGCATTTACTTGGGCTGCAATTTCTGAGGCTGGTAACTCTAATGAACTGATCCTCTGCAGCAGAGGTAACTCTGGGTCTTCCATTCCTGTGGCGGTCCTCATGAGAGCCAGTTTCATAGCGCTTGATGGTTTTTGCGACTGCACTTGAAGAAATTTTCAAAGTTCTTGAAATGTTCCGTTTTGACTGACCTTCATGTCTCAAAGTAATGATGGACTGTCGTTTCTCTTTGCTTATTTGAGCTGTTCTTGCCATAATATGGACTTGGTCTTTTACCAAATAGGGCTATCTTCTGTATACACCGCCCTACCTTGTCACAACATAACTGATTGGCTCAAACGCATTAAGAAGGAAATAAATTACACAAATTAACTTTTAAGAAGGCACACCTGTTAATTGAAATGCATTCCAGGTGACTACCTCATGAAGCTGGCTGAGAGAATGCCAAGAGTGTGCAAAGCTGTCATCAAGGCAAAGGGTGGCTATTTTAAGAATATACAATATAAAATATATTTAGATATGTTTAACACTTTTTTGGTTACTACATGATTCCATATTTACATTTACATTTACATTTACATCATTTAGCAGACACTCTTATCCAGAGCGACTTACAAATTGATGCATTCAACTTATAATAGCCAGTTGGACAAGCACTTTTTTTTCATGTGTTATTTCATAGTTTTGATGTCTTCACTATTATTCTACAATGGAAGAAATAGTACAAATTAAGAAAAAGCCTTTGGTGTGTCCAAACTTCTGACTGGTAGTGTACATTATTTAGTATATGTAAAGACAAGATTAAATCAAGAACAGTCTGATGGGTGACAATATTAGCCTATCACTTGTGAATTATATATTATCACGTGTGAATGATGCCCAGCTTGTGTGCAGTAAGGCAAGAAACAGCACATGCCTTTTTATTTGCGACTTTTTCAAATTATAGTTGCGCACCTCATGTATTCTAGCCCACAGGCCTATATGTTTTGATAAGGTTTGTATCACAACTAAAGTGGCCAAATACCTTCTTAAAATTAAGCACATTAATCCGCTTTACAACGTGTGTAGAGCATCACTGGCATACATATGCAACGCCTGAGTTTCAAGTTTGGGGAAGATAATTTTCACCATAAAAATGCACCTTTTTAATAAAAGCATTACATGCATAATCACATTTGCGGTCACTTCTGAGATGGTGTTTTCCTGCTAATTGATTGCATTTTTGGAACATTCAAGCTTATAGCCTACTGGCGTGTGGGCATTGCTGCGCTTATAATGTGAGGAAGTAGCCTAATAGTTTATCAACATTTTAAGCTAAACGTTCTGATCTGTTGCATCAGCCTCATTGCTTAAAAAAGTTATTTGATGCTAGTGGTTGTATTCATTTGGGATCTATCGCATTCCACAACTGTCCCATACTATGTTTGGAATATTTTTCGCACAGAATAGGTCAACTTTTGTACTATGGGGGATAGTAGATTGACATAGCCTGACGAAAGTAAATGTGGACAGAACTGAGCTATCTGAGAGAGCCATGTGAGTGAGAGGAGCTTCGGAGCAAGCAGCCAGGAGAAGGGAATTATAATTATTTTATTCAGCCCAAGGGCACAACGGCCACTGGCCACAAAAGGCATGGATTTTTTTAGGGGGCATTGCGGCCACACAAAGGTGATGCCGCCAGGAAATTCAAGGCATTATCAAGTCAAATTGTAAATGAGAGACTGATTAAATATGTGCAGCCTGTGCAAATAACAAAGGAGAGCTCATGCCTTTCATGAGACTTTTTTCAAATCATCATTAGAGTCGCATCATGCACACTTAAAATGTATTAAAAATACAAACGTTGGGCTATATATTTTGATCACAACTAAAGTTGCATAAATAACTCTAAATTAAGCATATACAGTGAGGGAAAAAAGTATTTGATCACCTGCTGATTTTGTATGTTTACCCACTGACAAAGATATGATCAGTCTATAATATTAATGGTAGGTTTATTTGAACAGTGAGAGACAGAATAACAACAATAAAATCCAGAAAAACGCATGTCAAAAATGTTATAAATTGATTTGCATTTTAATGAGGGAAATAAGTATTTGACCCCCTCTCAATCAGAAAGATTTCTGGCTCCCAAGTGTCTTTTATACAGGTAACGAGCTGAGATTAGGAACACACTCTTAAAGGGAGTGCTCCTAATCTCAGTTTGTTACCTGTATAAAAGACACCTGTCCACAGAAGGAATCAATCAATCAGATTCCAAACTCTCCACCATGGCCAAGACCAAAGAGCTCTCCAAGGATGTCAGGGACAAGATTGTAGACCAACACAAGGCTGGAATGGGCTACAAGACCATCGCCAAGCAGCTTGGTGAGAAGGTGACAACAGTTGGTGTGACTATTCGCAAATGGAAGAAACACAAAATAACTGTCAATCTCCCTCGGCCTGGGGCTCCATGCAAGATCTCACCTCGTGGAGTTGCAATGATCATGAGAACGGTGAGGAATCAGCCCAAAACTACACGGGAGGATCTTGTCAATGATCTCAAGGCAGCTGGGACCATAGTCACCAAGAAAACAATTCGTAACACACTATGCCGTGAAGGACTGAAAGCCTGCAGCACCCGCAAGGTCCCCCTGCTCAAGAAAGCACATATACAGGGCCGTCTGAAGTTTGCCAATGAACATCTGAATGATTCAGAGGAGAACTGGGTGAAAGTGTTGTGGTCAGATGAGACCAAAATGGAGCTCTTTGGCATCAACTCAACTCGCCGTGTTTGGAGGAGGAGGAATGCTGCCTATGACCCCAAGAACACCATCCCCACCATCAAACATGGAGGTGGAAACATTATGCTTTGGGGGTGTTTTTCTGCTAAGGGGACAGGACAACTTCACCGCATCAAAGGGACGATGGACGGGCCATGTACCATCAAATCTTGGGTGAGAACCTCCTTCCCTCAGCCAGGGCATTGAAAATGGGTTGTGGATGGGTATTCCAGCATGACAATGACCCAAAATACACGGCCAAGGCAACAAAGGAGTGGCTCAAGAAGAAGCACATTAAGGTCCTGGAGTGGCCTAGCCAGTCTCCAGACCTTAATCCCATAGAAAATCTGTGGATGGAGCTGAAGGTTCAAGTTGCCAAACTTCAGCCTCGAAACCTTAATGACTTGGAGAAGATCTGCAAAGAGGAGTGGGACAAAATCCCTCCTGAGATGTGTGCAAACCTGGTGGCTAACTACAAGAAACGTCTGACCTCTGTGATTGCCAACAAGGGTTTTGCCACCAAGTACTAAGTCATGTTTTGCAGAGGGGTCAAATACTTATTTCCCTCATTAAAATGCAAATCAATGTATAACATTTTTTTCTGGATTTTTTGTTGTTATTCTGTCTCTCACTGTTCAGATAAACCTACCATTAAAATTATAGACTGATCATTCCTTTGTCAGTGGGCAAACGTACAAAATCAGCAGGGGATCAAATACTTTTTTCCCTCACTGTAGGAAGACCTGTTTCTTTGTTAGCCGCTCAACACATAATAGCCGCATGTACGCACTCACTCAGAAATATTTTGGAGAAAACATCCTTTCTATTTTATTCAGCTATTGTTCAATTGTATTCTTCATACTGGCATAGCCAGACCAGGGCCTAACATAAGGACAAGGAGTATGCTCTTCTGTTCTTCTGAAATAGACTACATTTTCTTCATATCATGTTTCTTCAGACCTGTCTAAAATACTTAAGGGATTGATTGTGATGGTGTAGGCTATAGATTTATTATACTTTTTTTAAATGTAGATGTTCCAAAGGTCTGCATCAGTGGCTTGTAGGCTATGTGTGGAAGCCAGGAGATGCTAAATGTGATTATGTTAATTAACGATCAATTACCGTGAGACCGGCAGTTATTTGCTTGACCATCACCGGCTGACAGAATGTTATGACCGCCACAGCCCTAGACAGGAGGAAGCAGTTGCAGCTCCTCCTCAGCTGGAAGAGTAGGGGACACCTCCCCCACAGGAGAAGGTATCTCCTCGATGGTAACCAGAGCCTCAGACGGCTCCAGCTGCAGCTCTGGAACACCAGGAACTGGGGTGGCCCTCTCACTCCTTCTAAAAACTCCAGGAGAAACCACTGCACTTGGTGGTACTCCTCACATGGCGAATCAGTAGGGTAGGACTCACACCAACCCCGCTATGATGAAGGGAAGGACTGGCTGAGGAACTCAATGATGACAGCTGTAGCGTCGATGGGGTCTTCCTCCCCTCGCAGCCACTCCCACCAGGCCACAGCCACTCCTTAACTGGTACTCAATGTACTTGTCCTCCATGTTGATTGATTTGTTGAACAAAATGATGTCCTTGCACTGTCTGAAAAAACTCTATCTGTAGACTGGATCCCACTGCTGCCACAAAATGTTAAACACAGACTTTAAACAGGCAAATTCTCAATGAACAGTGATACCACATTTGAATGGCGATATGAAAGTGCAATTCACATTACAATGGCCATACTTAACTGATTAATGCAAACAAAGGTATAATTAGCATAAACATTAACATTCAGTTAGTCACCCCCAAACTCAGGCAAATGCCAGAAGGGCTGGTCCATTTTTTGCTTAGTGTGCCTTTCTAACTTGTTGGGTTTTTTTTCCGCAAAATTATAATTATCTAGCTAATAATGGGGACCTCAAGGAATAAAATGGGCTGGTGTGGGGGCCTAGAGGAAAACAAATCTGCTGTTGTGGGGGCCTCAAGGGAAGAAATGGGCCAGAGTGTTAGAAATGCAAGAGCCGATTTTTGGTCCCAGGCCGCCCCTGCCTAAGCTAATTATGTTTTCACTATGATTATTGTTTTCCTCATGTAAGATCAGTCTATACTGTTTATCGACTCATCAATGTTATACTTCTCAGTCATGCGAATATCCTTGACAACATGGTGAACAAGTTGGAGAGATATGCCAATCACCTGGAGGAAGTGGTTGAAGAGAGAACCAAACAGCTTACAGCAGAGAAGACCAGGGCGGACAAACTTCTCTCCAGTATGTTACCAAGGTAACACAGGCATTGTACCTACAAGCGCTTGGATTCTGTAAAAATAAACATTCCAAGATAATTGCGCTACAAATATTGTGATTTTTAAGATATTATTGTTGCAGAATTCAGTGCTGTTTTGTGGACAGAAACTCCGCCCTGAGTGTCAGAACATTGGTGTAACATACAATTTGTATATATTTAACCATCTCCAATGACTTTCCTGGCTTGACTGACAGGTACATAGCGGACCACCTGATGGCTGGGAAGTCGGTGGAGCCTCAGGGTTTTGACATGGTGACCATCTTTTTCTCGGACATCGTGGGCTTCACCACCATGTGCTCCATTAGCTCCGCCCTGGAGGTGGTCACCGTCCTCAATGACCTCTACAGTCTCTTTGATGAGATCATCAAGCTCTACGATGTCTACAAGGTACATTACACCTGTACAATAATTTTAAAGTGTTAGACAGACCCCAGTTTTTTGGGGTACCACTGTACATTAACTTACTTAGTTATTAGGGTATGGTAAAGCTTTATTGAAGGCTCCCTACATAATTCATTATCCCTACATAATGCATAAGCAGTAAATTAGTATTTTAATAAATAACTTATGAAATGTTGATGTAGGCTACTGTTTATGAATACATTATGGGTTCTGCATGTGCCTTCAGAAAGTATTCACACCCCTTGACTTTTCCCCAAAAAATGGTGTTACAGCCTGAATTTTAAATGGTTTACATTTAGATTGTTGTCACTGGTCTACAGTGGCTTACGAAAGTATTCACCCCCCTTGGCATTTTTCCTATGTTGTTGCCTTACAACCTGAAATTAAAATTGATTTTTGGGGGGTTTGTATCATTTGATTTACACAACATGCCTACCACTTTGAAGATGCAAAATAATTTTTTGGGTGAAACAAACAAGAAATAAGACAAAAAAACAGAACACTTGAGCGTGCATAACTATTCACCCCCCCAAAGTCAATACTTTGTAGAGCCAGCTTTTGCAGCAATTACAGCTGCAAGGCTCTTTGGGTATGTCTCTATAAGCTTGGCACATCTAGCCACGGGGATTCCTGCCCATTCTTCAAGGCAAAACGGCTCCAGCTTCTTCAAGTTGGATTGGTTCCCCTTAAACCACTCGAGTGTTGCTTTAGCAGTATGCTTAGGGTCATTGTCCTGCTGGAAGGTGAACCTCCGTCCCAGTCTCAAATCTCTGGAAGACTGAAACAGGTTTCCCTCAAGAATTTCCCTGTATTTAGCGCCATCCATCATTCCTTCAATTCTGACCAGTTTCCCAGTCCCTGTGGGGATGGTGTTCTTGGGGTGATTAGAGGTGTTGGGTTTGCGCCAGACATAGCATTTTCCTTGATGGCCAAAAAGCTCAATTTTGACCAGAGTACTTTCTTCCATATGTTTGGGGTGTCTCCCCCATGGCTTTCGACGAACACCAAACGTGTTTGCTTATTTATGTCTTTAAGCAATGGCTTTTATCTGGCCACTCTTCCGTAAAGCCCAGCTCTGTGGAGTGTATGGCTTAAAGTGGTCCTATGGACAGATACTCCAATCTCCACTGTGGAGCTTTGCAGCTCCTTCAGGGTTATCTTTGGTCTCTTGTTGCCTCTCTGATTAATGCCCTCCTTGCCTGGTCCGTGAGTTTTGGTGTGTGGCCCTCTCTTGGCAGGTTTGTTGTGGTGCCATATTCTTTAAAAATTTTAATAATGGATTTAATGGTGCTCCGTGGGATGTTAAACGTTTCTTGGTGGCGCCCCTTGCTTAGTGGTGTTGCAGACTCTGGGGCCTTTCAGAACAGGTGTACATACACTGAGATCATGTGACACTTAGTTTGCACACAGGTGGACTTTATTTAACTAATTATGTGACTTCTGAAGGTAATTGGTTGCACCAAGTCTTATTTAGGGGCTTCATAGCAAAGGGGCTGAATACATATGCACGCACCACTTTTCCGTTATTTATTTTTTTGAATTTCTTGAAACAAGTCATTTTTTTCATTTCACTTTACCAATTTGGACTACTTTGTGTATGTCCATTACATGAAATCCAAATAAAAATCTATTTAAATTACAGGTTGTAATGCAACAAAATAGGAAAAACACCAAGGGTGTGATGAGGTGGTGTTGAAGGAGTCAGGCGCAGGAGGGTAAATCACAGAATAACAGGCTTTAATCCGCAAAATACAGGTTTACGCAGAAATACGTGAAACACACTCCAGGGCACAAAACAGGCGCACTGGAAAACACAAGGCACATGGGAAAATACTCCCGTCGATACAAAATACACGAGCTCCACTAACCTCCACAATAAACAATCACCCACACAGACAAGGAAGCAGAGGGAACACTTATACAATGACTAATGAGGGAATAAGGACCAGGTGTGTGTGATTGAAGACAAGACAATTGGAGTGATGGTAAATGGATCGGCAGTAGCTAGTAAGCCGGTGAAGCAAACGCCGAAACCTGCCCGAACAAGGAGGAGAGGCAGCCTCGGCAGAAGTCGTGACAGTACCCCCACCTTGATGCACGGCTCCAGGATCGCGCCGACCCCGGCCTCTGGGACGGCCAGGAGGATGCGGAGCAGGGCGAGCCAGATGGCGACAGTGGAAATCCCGTAACATGGAGGGATCGAAGATATCCCACACCGGGACCCAGCACCGTTTCTCTGGACCGTACCCCTCCCACTCCACAAGGTTCTGAAGGCCCCCCACCCCCCACCCGACGCCTCGAATAGAGGATGGAACGGACAGAGTACGCCGGGGCCCCCTCGATGTCCAGAGGAGGTGGAGGGACCTCCCGCACCTCAGACTCCTGGAGCGGACCAGCTACCACCGGCCTGAGGAGAGACACATGAAACGAGGGGTTTATACGGTAATCAGGGGGAAGTAATAACCTATAAGTGACCTCGTTGACTCTCCTCAGGACTTTGAACGGCTCCACAAACCGCGGGCAGATTCCGGGTCGAGAGCCAGACCCGATCCCCCGGTACAAAGACGGGGGCCTCACTGTGGTGGCGGTCAGCGTTGGCCTTCTAACGACACACGGCGCGTTGCAGGTAAACGTGGGCAGCATCCCACGTCTCCTCCGCGTGCCGAAACCAGTCATCCACCGCAGGAGCCTCGATCTGGCTCTGGTGCCATGGTGCCAGAACCAGTTGGTAACCTAGAACACACTGGAAAGGCGTTAGGTTAGTGGAGGAGTGGCGGAGTGAGTTCTGGGCATATTCTGCCCATGGCAAGAACACTGACCAGACACTATATCCTCTGGTACCCCGTAGTGCCGGAAGACGTGTGTAAACAGGGCCTCCGCAGTTTGCAAAACCGTGGGAAGACCATGAAGGAAGAAGGAGGCGGCAGGCTATAGAAAACGGTCCACAACGACCAGGATGGTGGTGTTACCTTGGGAGAGGGGAAGATCAGTTAGAAAATCAACACTTAGGTGAGACCATGGTCATTGTGGAACTGGTAAAGGTTGTAACTTACCAGCTGGGAGGTGCCTAGGTCCCTTACTCTGGGCGCACACTAGCAGGAGGAGACCTATCCCCTTACGTCCTTAGCCAAGGTAGGCCACCAGTATTTTCCGGTCAGGCAGCGCTCTGTACGGCCGATACCTGCGTGACCAGAGGAGGGTGACGTGTGTGTGCCCAGTAGATCAGACGATCATGGATAAGAGCAGGCACGTACTGTAGGCCATCTGGACACTGAGGTGGAGAGGGATCCGTGCGTAATGCCTGCTCTATATCCGCATCCATCACCCATACTACCGGCGCCACAATGCAGGAGGCTGGCAGTATGGGGGTGTTGTCGCTGGGCCTCTCCTCTGTGTCATAGAGCCGGGACAGTGTGTCTGCCTTCATGTTCTTCGTACCCGGGATGTATGATAGAGTGAAATCAAACCGGGTGAAGAATAGGGCCCACCTGGCCTGGCGAGGATTCAGCCTCCTCGCTGCCCAAATGTACTCCAGGTTACGGTGGTCCATCCAGACGAGGAAAGGGTGTTTTGCCCCCTCGAGTCAATGCCTCCACACGGTCAAGGCTCGGACAACAGACAACAGCTCCCGATCACCAACGCCATAGTTCTGCTCCGCCGGGCTGAGCTTCTTCGAGAAGAACACACAGGGGCGGAGCTTGGGTGGCGTACCCAAGCGTTGAGACAGGACAGCTCATATCCCAACCTCGGACGCATCCACCTCCACTATGAACGGTAGTGATGAATCGGGGTGGGCCAGTACTGGGGCTGAGGTGAACAGACTCTGCAGTTTGCTGAAGGCCAGGTCAGCCTCAGCAGACCAGCGGAGCCGGGACGGCCCACCCTTCAACAGGGAGGTAATGGGAGCTGCGACCTTGCCAAAGCCCCGGATAAACCTCAGATAGTAGTTGGCAAAGCCAAGAGAAGCGCTGCACCTCCTTAACCGTGGTTGGAGTTGGCCAATTATGCATGGCTGAAATGCGATCTCCCTCCATCTCCACACCTGAGGTGGAAATGCGGTATCCAAGGAAGGCGACGGACTGCTGGAAAAACATACACTTCTCTGCCTTAGCATAAAGGTAATTTTCCAACAGTCTGGCCAGCACCTTGCGAACCAGGGACACATGCTCGGCGCGCGTAGCGGAATACACCAGGATGTCATCGATGTAGACCACTACACCGTGACCAAGCATGTCCCGAAACATCTTGTTCACAAAGGACTGGAAAACTGAGAGAGCATTCATCAAATCATAGGGCATCACCAGGTATTCATAATGCCCCGTGGTTGTGCTGAATGCTGTCTTCCACTCATCTCCCTCTCGGATACGCACCAGGTTGTACGCACCTCTGAGATCTAATTTGGTGAAGAAGCGTGCCCCATGCATTGATTCAATCACTGAAGGAATGAGGGGGAGAGGATAACTAAATCTTATCGTCTCCCTGTTCAGTGGTCGATAATCAATGCACGGGCGCAGACCTCCGTCCTTCTTCATAATGAAGAAACTCGAGGAGGCGGGTGAAGTGGAGGGACGTATATACCCCTGGTGCAGGGACTCGGTGACATACTGTATGTTTCCATAGCCACTGTTTCAGCCTGTGACAGGGGGTATATATGACTCCTGGGAAGTACAGCGTCTACCCAGAGTTTTATCACGCAATCCCCCGCCCGATGAGGTGGTAATTTAGTCGCCTACGTTTTGGAGAACGCTTGCACCATATCGAGGTATTCAGGGGGAATGCGCACGGTGGAGGTACTGTCTGGACTTTCCACTGTGGTTGCACCAACGGAAACACCTAGACACCTACCCTGACACTCTTGCGACCACCCCATGAGAACCCTCTGAAAAAGTAACCTGCTCACAATGAGTCTTCTGGGTAATCATGGTGACTGGTGCAGTAACTTCCTTAACCAACCCGGACCCTAATGGTCGATTATATCAAGTGCTCTGATGGGGCGTGGAATGGATAGGGGAATCAATGGAATGCCTATACGGTGTGCGAATGCCCTGTCCATAAAGTTCCCAGCTGTGCCTGAATCGACTAGCGCCTTACACTGGGAAACTACCATGTGCTCAGGAAAAGAGATGTGTATTTTACAGTGTGCAGCAGAGGGCTCTGAACGAGTGTGGGTGTTCGATACCTGGGGTGATGCGAGAGTGCCCTGCCTGCTGCCTCCAAACCCTGAAAAGCGTTGATGAAAACGTGGGGTGAAATGTCCCTTCGCGCCACCAGTGTGGCACTGGCGCTGTCGTCCTCCGCTCTCTCGGCTAGTGGTTCCACCCATCTCCATCTGTTCTGGATCCGAGTCGGCTGGGATGGAAACGGGCAGACCTCTTCCAGGACGTCCTCTGGTTGCCAGCAGGTTGTCCAAACGAATGGCCATGTCTACCAGTTGCGAGAAGGACAACATGGTGTCACGGCAGGCTAGCTCCCTGTCGGACATCCTCTCGCAGATGGCACCGGAAATGGTCGATCAGGGCCCGCTCGTTCCACCCGGACCCAGCTGCCAGAGTTTGAAATTCCAATGCGAAGTCCTGCGCAGTCCTCGTCCCCTGCCTCAGGTGGACCAGCCGCTCGCCCGCCTCTCAACCCTCGGGCGGGTGATGGAAGACCGCCCGGAAGATGCGAGCGAACTCCCCGTAGTTCTCCAACACGGCTCCTCCTTCGTTCCACACCACATTGGCCCACTCCAGGGCTTTCCCCGAGAGGCAGGAGACGAGGGCGGACACCTTCTCCCACTCCGATGGGACCGGCCGGATGCTGGAGAAGTAGAGCTCCAGTTGGAGAAGGAATCCTTGGCACAGCGCCGCTGTCCCGTCGATCTCCCGTGGTCGGCATATCTGGATCCCTCCGGATGCCAGGGTGTAGGTGGCGGGATCCGGTTGGCCAGCTGGTCTCGACAGATCGGGCTCTCTCCTCTCCAGGCGTTGGACAACCTGAAGAACCCGATCCATCGCTTCACCCAAGCTGGCTAGCATAGTTGAATGCTCCTGGACCCGTTCCACCACTCCAGGCATGCGCGTCTCTCCCGCTGACTCCTTGTTCAGGTGGGTGATTCTGTGATGAGGTGGTGTTGAAGGAGTCAGGCGCAGGAGGGTAAATCACAGAATAACAGCCTTTAATCCGCAAAAATACAGGTTTACGCAGAAATGCGTCAAACACACACCAGGGCACAAAACAGGTGCACTGGAAAATACAAGGCACACGGGAAAATACTCCCGTCGATACAAAATACACGCGCTCCACCGAGCTTCACTAACCTCCACAATAAACAATCACCCACACTTATACAATGACTAATGAGGGAATAAGGACCAGGTGTGTGTGATTGAAGACAAGACAAATGGAGTGATGATAAATGGATCGGCAGTAGCTAGTAAGCCGGTGACGCCGAACGCCAAAACCTGCCCGAACAAGGAGGGGAGGCAGCCTCGGCGGAAGTCGTGACAAAGAGGGATGAATACTTCCGCAAGGCACTGTAGACACAATACCCCATAGTGCCAAAGTGGAAGAATGTCTTGAGTCAATAAGTATTCAACCCCTTTGTTATGGGAAGCCTAAATAAATTCAGGAGTAAAAATGTGTTTAACAAGTTGCATAATAAGTTGCCGGACGCATTTCGGTAATGAGAATTTTGGGTACAGATTTTCAAAATTCTGATGAAATTTTTTTATGTATTTCAAATAAGACATTTTCTCAAAAACTAAACATCTTAGTCCTCAGAATGATAGTTGATTTTTGCAGTTGCATCATGGTTTTATAACACAATTTGCTACAGACATTTAAAAACTGGTTTCATGAGAATCACCCAATCGCTACCAAAGGTGATTCTAACATGTATTGACTCAGGGGGTTGAATACTAATCAAGATATATAAGTGTTTTTTTAAAATTATTATTATTATATTTTATTTTTTACAAATATTATAATTTTTCTTCCACTTTGACATTAAAGTATTTTCTGTAGATCATTGACAAAAACTGACAATTAAATCCATTTTAATCCCACTTTGTAACACAACAAAATGTGGAAAAAGTCAAGGGATTTGAATACTTTCTGAAGGCACTGCAGGTAACCTTGAAATAGAAATGTAAAGTTTACGGTGTATATTGTGGGAATGTATGTGTATGATGTATCAGGTGGAGACTATAGGGGATGCTTACATGGTGGCTAGCGGGCTGCCCATCAGTAACGGCATGAAGCACGCATCTGAGATTTCTACTATGGCTCTTCACTTCCTGTGTGCCATCAAGCTCTTCAAGATTCGCCACTTGCCCAATCAGAGCTTGGCTCTCCGCATTGGGATCAACTCAGGTCAGTATGTACGAACAACGTGTCAAGTCGATTACCCAGACAGCGGCTGTCAGCCATGAAACTTAGAAATGCACCATTTTCATAATATTTTTACACTGGTATTGTGCTGGAGATAATGAAAATGATGTTGATAAGTGGTGGAGTTGCACATTAAGAAATGCTAGCAGCCATGACTGAAGTCAAACGAGAGTTGTCTTGGGGGTGTGGTATGATGTGGGGGTTTCTTGGGTGTGTTTTTGCTATTCAATCGCAAAAAAGAAAGCCAGTAGTGAGTACAGCGAGGTAAGCTAAGCTAGCTTTGCTATGGAGAGAACAAAGTTTTGAAGTTGAGGACTTCTCCCCTCCAGATTGACTCACCATCTCAAGATGTTCAGCTAATTCCGTTCTATGTGTAGGCTAAAGCCTGCGCGGACCCTGTGTTTATCCAAGCTACAGCAGCTAGCTAGCATAGCTTGGTGATAGCTGCAACTGGCTATTCTATCTAGCTAATATTTCACTGTCGAATATGTTTCGTAAGACACTCATTCTATAACACCTTATTACGAAAGTTGCTTGCAACTTAGTTTCAACATTTCATCATATCATGTAAATACGTGTTACTGTAGAAACTGTAGAAACTGCGAGTTGTATGCCCGGTCTTGGGTCAGCTCAGCTGTCCTACAACACAATATTCTATAACTGGCTAGTTTTGTCTAGTCTCATCTCTCCTTATGTCTTTCCCAGGGGACATATCTCAGAACTACTAATATCCCTACAACAGGTGTAGGCTAAATGTGGACATTACTCAAACATCACCCAGATTGAGTGTAGATACATTTATCAACAAACAAATCAATGAGTGTGTTTATGATACAAAGACAAAACATTCGGTGCTGTAAATATCATATTGATGTGCTTATAAAGACAGTATGCTTACCTAGCAAATAAAAATATGTTGTGTGTAGAGTACAGCTTCAGCTGTCTTACCAGAACTAGGATTTGGCTGTCTAACCACAAACTGACATGCACACACAAGGGCTGTTCAGCATCTAGATTTGATTTACATTTGGTTGAGTTGTCAACTAACGTGAATTCAACATGAAATCAACCAGAAATGTCACTCTATCATTGGATTTAGGTTAAAAGTTGGGTAAAAAAAAGATGCTGTGACACTCCATTCTGGATAAGACAGAGTTTGCCTCAACCCATTGGTCCAGCAGGCATAGTTAAATAACTACAGGCAGATGTGAGATGCAGGAGGATGGCACTCTTCTCATACAACTCTGTAGGCTACTGGCCAATTCAAAGCTTCCTCCAGGAGGATTTAATAGAGTCTGTTGATAACTTTCAAGTGTAACAGTTCCATGTAGAATAACCCATACTTCACATAATACTGTAGAAGCAGTGTTCTGCTAATATAACAAAGTGCAAATATCATACCTTAATGTACACACAGCTCTGATTACATTATCAATGGTGGTTAGGTGAATTCCAGGACAGATATTATTTTGACCATTGACCAGATCAAATGTGACCACCTGATTCATGTGTCCTCCATTACTCTGAAGCGGGACTGGTTTCTGGCCACTGCCTCAGCCATCTGTAACAGCTCCTGATATGGTAGAGGGATTCCCACAACGCTGCTGAACAACAAATCCACCAGGTTTTGTACGCAGCCTGTGAATAATATAAAATATTATCACTCAATTAACATACAGTATAGTGAGAAAAATAACATTCTCTAGTTTGGAAGTAATTTATATGCTAATAGAGGGACTGTAACTACAGAATAGATTCAGACCGGTGACGCTGACGCCATTACTATGCAACCAGCTGTGTACGTTGCTGAATGCTTGCTGATACTTTTTGCTATTTGCTGCCAGAGCCATAGCTATATTTGTAGTAGACAAGTACTATCCTTAATTAATTTTCCCCCTAGAAAATACACAACAAACTTTTATGAGAACATGTTGTTTTGGGTTAGCATATGAAGGCCCCAATGCTAGCTAACTAGCTACCTAACTTGCAAATCCGGGTTAGTTATCATATCTTTGTCTGAGTTGAAATTAGTTGGCTAGTGTTAGCTAGCCAGTTCAAGTTGAAACATTATTGAAAGCAGCTGGCTACATCCTATGATTAGATAGTAAGCTAGTATCCAAGTGCCTGCCCTGTATTGTCCCTAAATGTGACTAGTTTCAGGAAACTAGCCGTATGTCGCGCATCACTACTTCACAGGAGAGGCATGTGAAAGTAAACTTTTATTTTTCAAAATGCGTTTTTTGGCAGAAATGCCTTCTGGAACATGTGAACTTTCATGTGCCTTAATAACAAACTTGAATTAAGGCCATCTGTAAAGACGAATGAGATGGTTAAATTACGAGCCTAGTTGGTTTAGCCACGGAAAAAGACAGGAACCTTTCCACTAGCCATGATTGGCTGAGATAATGAATAGGCTGGACATGCTGAGAGATGAGTTCGGATTGGTCTGCCATGTAGTACGCTTCTGTCTATAACATGAGCTGGTCAGTATGTGTAGGTAATACTTTCTAACGCAGCTTAAAAAAAAAAAAGATATCACGTAGTAAATTTGAAAAAGTGTTGCTCTCTACTTTCTGGTGGACCGAGTTTTGAAATCAGTGGAATGCCCGGTGGAATTAGGGTATGATAGCTAAGTAGATGGATAAAATTCTGCCGTTTGATTGCAAATATGCAGCTAGCTAACATTGAACCTGGTTGGTTAGCTACCTGCAGATTCATGCAGGGTAATAACGTTATGAGTTGGGATTATGGTTCATTGTTTAGTTAGCTCGCTACATGTCTAAACAAAAGACTCCACTATGCAAGTAACCATTTCACAACACCTTCTGTATCCTGTGCATGTGACAAATAAACTTTGATTTTATTTGATATAGTATGTGTTTACCAGAGATGGTAATGTGAAGAACATGACCTGCACCAAGTCAAATTAGGATATAACGTTAGGCCGAGACAGTGTCCAAGTTCTAAAATTCTCTGGTAGAATGCCTTGCTTTTATTGCGTCACACTCACAACCGTTAGCTATTTTCTGGCTCGCCATTAACTTGTAAATAATGATCTCGTTGTGAATTTATTTTCTTGTAATAATGAAAACAAATTAGCTAAAGTGAAGACACTGTCAGCTATATTATATGGGCATTATTTGAACTGGCTAGCCAGCTAACTTAACATTAGCTAGCTAGCTAACAAGCTAGAAACGAACCAAAACATTGTTTAGAAAGTTGCTTTTAGTTGCCTGGTTTGCTAGATTGACATATACTAAATTAATTTTTAAACGGGTGCGTTTATTGGTGTTAAAATACACTAGTTATGCTATTTTGGAACACCAGGCAGCCTGTAGTTTTTGTGTTTATACTTTTTCATAACGACAACGACAAGTCTGATGTCGGACGACAATAGAATGTTCATGATGCGACAACTGTCGATAGACGTAGCATAAACCAGCCTTTAGTCTTGAAATCTTTGGTTGTTTAGTACATGGCCTCACATGTGAATCCTTAAAGAGATGGGTCAGGCTTAAGAAGGTGTGAACGATGCTGAATGGGTGTAGAGTAGACAAAGAAGAGCTCTCCAGTAGGTTTACTGTCACGACTTCCTCCGAAGCTGACTCCTCTCCTTGTTCGGGCAGGCTTCGGCGTTCGTCGTCACCGGCCTTCTAGCCACTGCCACTCCTCATCTCATCATTACATTTGTTTTGTCTTGTTTATTACACACACCTGGTTCATATCCCCTCATCAGTACCTGTATAAGTATTCCCTCTGCCCCCCTTGTCTTTGTGTGTGATTGTTTATTGTGGAGGTTAATATAGCTCGGTGGAGCTATATTGTATTTTGTATCGCCGGGATATTCACCTGTGTGCCTTGTTTTCTCCAGTGCGCACTGGAGTGTTTTACGCATTGCTGTGTACCGCTGTCTTACCGTATAAACCATTTATTCTGTGATTTACCCTCCTGCGCCTGACTCCATCCAAATCACCCGCCACAGAATCACACACCCGAACAGCATGGAGTCAGCAGAAGACGGGAATATGCCTGGAGTCGTGGAGCGGGTCCGGGAGCATTCCAACATGCTAGCCAGCTTGAGCGAAGCGATGGATTGGATTCTCCAGATCGTCCAACGCCTGGAGAGGAGAGGACCCGACCCTTTGGGACCAGCTGAGCGACCGGATCCAGCCACCCACACCCCAGCACCCAGAGGGATTCACCTATCCCGACCGAGGGAGTATGATGGGACAGCAGCCCGCTGCCAGGGTTTCCTCCTGCAGCTGACCTCTATTTTTCTACTATCAGCCCGGCTCCATTTGAGCGGGAGAATGTGTCCGCCCTCGTCTCCTGCCTCTCGGGAAAAGCCCTGGAGTGGGCCAAAGCAGTCTGGAGTGAAGGAGGAGACGCGTTGGACAACTACAAGGAGTTTGCTCGCCTCTTCCGGGCAGTCTTCGATCACCCTCCTGAAGGAAGGGAGGCGGACGAGCGGCCGGTCCATCTGAGGTAAGGGACGAGTACCGCGCAGGACTTCCGCCCTGGAGTTTAGAACTCTAGCGGTTGGTTCCAGGTGGAACGAGCGGGCCCTCATCGACCGCTTCCGGTGCAGCCTGCGAGAGGACGTCCGACGGGAGCTAGCCTGCCGGCATACCACGTTGACTTTCAACCAGCTGGTGGACATGGCCATCCGGTTGGACAGCCTGCTGGCTTCAAGAGGACGTCCTAGAAGGGGCCTGCCCGTTTCACCCCCCTTCAACCCGGATTATGTTCCGATGGAGCTGGGAGGTGCAGCGATCCGGGAGAACGAAGGATGACAGCTCCAGTGTCACTCTTGTGGCAAGAGAGGACACTCTGCTGCATGGTGTCATCAGAGTTCTTCTGGGTCTGGAGGCGACAGGCAGGGCACTCTCATGTCACTCCAGGTAGCGCAAACCCACACTCATTCAGAGCCCTCTGCTGCGTACTTCACCATATGCGTCACCTTCCCTCAGAATACCTCGACTTGGCACACACGTTTTCCAAAACGCAGGCAACCAAATTACCACCCCATCGGGCGGGGGAT